AGTAGATAGATTTTAGGAATTTCATAAAAAGTGAAATATTTCGTAACCACGCAAATTTTTAAATTTTAAATTTTTAATTTTTAATTTTTAAATTTACAACAAAATTTTTTCTAATTTTGGAAAATCATATACAATCATATCGGTTACTTGGATTTTTTAATTTTTTTATTTTATATCTTTTTGTAAAGAAAACAAAATTTTTTTTTCTTAATAGTCTTATGAACGTGGACTTGGCGCGATTTTTTTACAGTGAAACTGTTTTTGTTCGGATTATTTGATACTTGGTTAAAATTGAAGAAAAATCAGCATCGAAAAAAGTCTCATTGTTAACGGATCCGCAGAAAACCATTCTGTAGCTATTTTAAATACGTTAAACACGTGGAACGTTGCGCCTTATATTAAAGCAATGTGTTTCGACACTACAGTAGTTAATACCGGTACGATTTCTTTTATTTACTCACTTACATTATTTGCCATAAATTAATACTCAAGATGTTCTTTAATTCCTTGTAGAAATTTTCTTTTCCAGTCGCATAACATCTCTGCTCGAATTTTGGTTTCAAATTCGCATTACTTCATTTACGTTATTCGCAACTTTAAGTCATCTAAGCTAACATCTTATTTTCATTCAATTTTCAACTAAATTCATGCACGATTCTTTTATTATCCTCTACTTTGGCTTTATGTATAAATTAATGTTTCATTTACAGGCATATGTGGTAGCATTGCTGCATTGATTGAAAAAAAACTCAATAGAAAATTAATATGGTTGCCTTGCCGTCACCAAATTTTTGAAATCGTTTTAATAGGTGTTTTTGAAGCTTACTGGCCGGTAACTTCAGGCCCTAATGTTTCAATTTTTGGGCGATTTAAAACTTTCTGGGATAAAATTGACCAACCTAATTATGAAACTGGTATAAAAGATGAACTTGTAAACGATGCTGTGAAAGAAGAAAGGATCGAAATACTTATGTTTATAAATAATCAGTTAACGGTATGTTTTTAACATTTACACTCAAGTCAACTGATATCCACGCCGATAAATTATAATTAATGCTAACAACTCTTTCCTAGGTATGTCAGCCAAGAAGTGACTACAAAGAGCTACTAGAATTAGCTTTAATTTTTCTTGATGGTTCACTAGAACGCACGAATAATTTTGAGCGCCCAGGAGCAATGCATCATGCACGATGGATGGCTAAAGCCATTTACAGTTTGAAAATTTTCATTTTTAGAAATCAGTTTCCCCTTTCAAAACCTGAAATTAATAATTTACGTCATGTCTGTATTTTTGTAGTTTTAATTTATATTAGAGTATAGTTTTCATGTTCTTTAGCGATCCAAGCTCCTAATAATGATTTAGAAATGTTGAAAAAGTTAGTTCATTATAAAGATGTTAATCAATTAGTTTCACAAAAAGCGTTAAAGAAAATAGGGAATCATATGTGGTATTTGAACGAAGAATTCGCTCCTCTCGCATTGTTGGACCATACTCTCTAAACATGAATAAGTGAATATTCACTTATTTAAGTGAGAACCGAGCCACTGACTTGAAAAAGTGGCTCGATTGGCACTTAAGTTAAGTGAATATTCACTTATTTGACGAATTTTCACTAATTCAGTTTTAGGGAGTAACGTTTCTGATGAAATAAAGAAAAAAATGTGCGTAGCTATACTTCAAAATCCGGAGAGTAAACTTATCAAAGACAAGCGACATGTTGCTGAAGGAAAGAATTTAGAATCTTTTTTAGAAAAAGACTTGAGTGCATTTGTTTCTATGAAATCATTGACGCTCTTTCAAATATTTGATTTACCCTATGATTTCCTTGATGGTGATGTAGGAATGTGGTCTGAGAATGAAAGTTATAAAGAGAATTTAGAATTTTTCAGAGGGTTAACAGTGGTTAATGATGTAGCAGAACGGGGTATTGCATTAATCGAAGAGTACAATAATTGCTTAACGAAAAATGAAGAGCAACTCCAATATCTTCTACAAGTTGTACAAGATCATCGTCGACGTTTTCCAAATTTTAATAAAGAAACATTAAAATAATCATTAATTTATTTTATAATGACTTTTCTACTGTAATTTATAAAAAAAAGTTGTTTCAAAAAGAATGTTCAAGAAAGTGATACTTTAAAATTTGATATTATTATTTCAATGAATAAAAAAAGATTGTTCCTGAATAAGTGTCGTCTTTTTATCAAAATGTCATTGTTGGGTAAATGATATTTAATTGTTGTTAGTAGCATTTTATTGTTCATAGTTTTGATAGCTGAAGTGAAAATCGTAAATTTTATAAACTGGAAATAATCGTGTTAAACTTAAAGCTATTATCTATACGATTTAAAAATTGTAAAATAATTTTTTTTCGAAGATGAGTTTTATTATTATACCACAATTTAAGAAAAAAAGGTTAAATAGATTACATGTTGAACTTTAAACTCGAATAACTTTTAAAGGAGAAGACTTAGAGAAAAAACAAGGGACAATTTATTTAGAGCATTCAATTTCCTTCAAAAATATGTATCTATCACCCCGAAATGTTAATTCCAAAATTAGTTGGAAAAATTCTAAAGTTAAAAAATTTTTTTTTCCATGTTATTTAAATGTAAAATAGAAATTTACGATGAGAGAACTTTCAAAATTGATATTAAGAGCTCCCGTTTTCACAGGCTTCTTTTTTTATGACTAGGAAGATATTTCACTGCGAATTTTGAAAAAAAAAAATAGTCGATTTTTTTGAACCGGTCTAATAATCATATATAATTATATGCAATTATATATAATTATATGTAATTGTATATAATTATATATGATTATTAAAAAATGCTGCATCTAATTATATATTATTATATAATATCATATATAATTACATGCAATTATATATAATTATAGGTAATTGTATATGATAATATATAATTATTAAAAAATGCTGCATCTAACTATATATTATTATATATAATTATATATGATTATATATAATTATTAAAAAATACTACATCCAATTATATATTATTATACACTTCTCGCAAAAATTAAGGGAACAAAAAAAATTTCGAAATTTTTTAGCGATTTTCAACAGGCTGTATTTCAGTGAAAAATGGTCGTACAGGAAATAAAAAAACAAAGCTTTTGAAGCTTGAAGACTCTAGTTTTCAAATTTTTTGGTTAAAAATTTTTCGGAGCACTGGTAGCCATGCAATCCTTGGATAAAGCACAAAGAAAAAATTTTCCAAATTTTTTACATTTTTTTTCCGCTCTACGGGCATGGAAAAAATTTTTCGAGCTAGACCAATGCATAGGCCGTATAGCCTGTTTATTCAGCTTCAATTTGCTTTTTACGGGACCCAGATACGACCATTTGTCTTCGAGATATCGAATTTTGAATGTAAAAGGATCTTTTTTCACTCAACTGCCGATATCTCTGGAACTACTGATTGCCGAGCAAGCGGATAGGGGGTTTCGTTTTTTGCAGAAAATTTCCTACAAAAATCTGTCATGGTTAATTTAAAAAAAAATTTTTTTCCATTTGTAACGTTAACGTAAAAAAAGAGCAAAAAAATGCCATTTTCCCTTTTTTTGGTTAATCGACTGTATCTTTGTCAATATTGGGAGGAAGGCTTTGGTCAGAGGAAATTTTTTTAGCCCAATATACCCCGAAGAACCCCCTAAATTTTTAGATCGATCGGTTCAGCGGTTTTTCTGGATCGATCGATTGAAATTTCGAAAAAATTAAGGAAACAAGGTTTTTGTTCCTTACACTTAATCTAATCTTTTTTTTAAAAAGATAACTTTTTTTAAATCAAAAATTTCATTTTTTTTTATTTTTTACTCAGTTTCGTGTTTTTTGAAGATTAATTAACAAAAAAAAAAACCAAAAAAAATTTTCAAAAAAATTTCCAAAAAAAATTTGAAAAAAATTTTTTTTTCGTTTCCAAGGAAATCAAAATGTTTGACAAAAATTTTAATTGATTACTGATTCACCGCCAGCATTAGCGTTATCCAAAGCATACCACGTGGAGGTTGCACGGTCGGATTTACGCTTCTTGTGCTTACGCACGTGTGTTAATGATTCTTCAGAAAAATGAGACCCCGTGGTTCGTCAGCTCCACAGTATTTAACGACTCCAAACTCATTTACTGAAGAGTGTGTGTGTCAGTGTCGTGTAAGTGATTTTTAGAAAAAATGAGACCCCGTGGTTCGTCGGCCCCACAGTATTTTACGACTCCAAACTCATTTTCTAACGTGTGTAAGAATGTGTGTGTGTGTGTGTGTGTGTGTGTGTGTGTGTGTGTGTGTGTGTGTGTGTGTGTATGTGTGTGTTTGTTTGTGAGTGTTAATCGTGTTCAATATCGAGTGTTCCCACCTCTACTCCTAATCACAGCTCGCAATCTTTCTCGCATATTTGAAATGCAATTTTGGATCATCCGTTGAGGAATCTGACGCCAAACTCTTATTAAGGTTGTACGGACACTAATGCACTTTTGAAGATCAGAAGCTAATTTTTTGATATGTTATGAATTGCTATCTCATACGTCTAAATTAATTTTTTGAATAGATCTGTCGAAGGGTTATCCTTTAATAAATTATCAAAAAATTGAAATTTAACATGTAGCCTATAGAGACTATTGGCGGATTGCACATATATCGATTTATGTGACTGCCTCATAGGAAGATTAAAAAACAAAAAACTTCTATTTCAGTCAATCAACTTTCGTAGAATACGTTAAAAATAAAATGAAAATTTTCTGCCGAAGGCTTTTAAAGATATTTTAATGCAAAAGATGAGAAATTCACGAAAATTTCAGGCCGACATATTTAAAAATAAACAAACTACGTGATTCAGCGCAGTGTGGCAACGTTGCACAGAATAGAACGCGCGAATTTTGAATTTTAGTAATTCCTGTGTATTTTTATGGGTTATGTTTTTCAACTCAACACTACACAGTGAGATAAATATAAACAGCTGTTAAGTGCGGTGTTGTCAGGTCCAAGTTTTGTGAAAAAATACTTGAGTCAAACGTTGACTATTTATTGTTGTTGTTAATTAAATTATTAAATTATTTTATTTAATAATAATGTAAGGTAACGATTAAATTATAGTAATGAATTTTCGTATTTAAATTTTTAAGTTTAATGAAAAAAAAATTTAGATTCTACTATGACTTACGGGGTACTGTCCGTGCAACCTTAAAGCGTTCTCTAATGCTGCTAAATTGTTCAAGTTCGCATAATTTTGACGCAATCGACGGCCCAACATGTCCCAGACGTGCTCAATAGGATTCAGATCAGGACTCATTGCAGGATGCCTCAACAACCTAATGTTGTTTCTCTGAAAGAATTGAAGGGTTATATTCGCTGTATGAGACCTAGCATTATCCTGCATAAAAATGAATCCTCTCCGGTTTCTTGTTAAAAGTAACACATGAGGTCGCAAGATTTGGTCGATATAACGTCTAGCATTAAGAGTGTCTCGAACAATCAATAAAGGAGTTCGAGAATCCCGTGAAACTGCAGCCCAAACCATCACCGATCCTCCACCGTAAGCAGCTACGGGACGAATAAAACGTTGTTCATAACGTTGACCTGTACGACGCCAAACTCGAGGTCTTCGGTCGTTACCATACAAGCAAAACCGAGACTCGTCAGAGAAAAAGACATTGTTCCAATTTCTCATTGGCCAGTTTATATGGTCGTGAGCGTACTGTAGACGAGCTCTACGATGTGCAACGGTCAACATCGGTCCACGGGCAGCATTTCTAGCACGCAGTCTAGATTCGCGAAGACGATTTCTTACCGTCGATCGAGAAATGTTTCGTGGCTGTCGTCGTTGTCGTTGTTGTTGTTGCCGCCGTTGTTGTTGACGGTTTGGAAAATTTCGGTTGATGACGTTTGATGGAGCAAAAGGGTCTTGAACAGCTTGTCGAATGATTGCCCGGTCGTCTCGATGAGTCGTTGCTCGATGTCGGCCTTGTCCAGGACGTCGTTTATATGCATTTGTTTCCAGGAATCGGTTGTAGGCACGAGACACAACCGAAGCACTAACACCGAGTCGTTCACCAACCTGCCGATATCTGTACCCCTCCTGAACAAGAGTCACTAGCCGAGCAACTTCTGGGGCAGATAAATGTCGCCTGGGGGGCATTATGATGTAAATTGAATTCAAAAAGCAGCTGTCAGTAATTTCTTTTTTGAAATTTACGAAAAAAAGTTAGTTTTGAAAAAAACTGTTGTTTGGTTTTTTTTACCGATAAAGTCGAAAAGTTTTGAAAAAAACTGTTTTTTAACACGTGATAGCTCTGCAGGAAACGTAAAAAATTTATCGCTCAGAATTTCGCACTCCGATTACAATGTGCACCTTAGGGGTATCAACTTTAATTTTATTCAATAAAATTTTTTTAGGGAAAATAAAGGTTTAAATGTGTCCATAACTTCAGCGAGGTGAGTCAGAATAGGCCTCTTGATTTTGTTTTATTTTTTTCAATTTGAAAAAAAATTTTTTTTTTTAATTTTCAAAAAAAATTTTTTTTGGTTTTTTTTTTTTGTTAATTAATCTTCAAAAAACACGAAACTGAGTAAAAAATAAAAAAAAAAATGAAATTTTTGATTTAAAAAAAGTTATCTTTTTGAAAAAAAGATTAGATTAAGTTTAAGGAACAAAAACCTTGTTCCCTTAATTTTTTCGAAATTTCAATCGATCGGTCCAGAAAAACCGCTGAACCGATCGATCTAAAAATTTAGGGAGTTCTTCGGGGTACATTGGGCTAAAAAATTTTCCTCTGACCAAAGCCTTCCTCCCAATATTGAAAAAGATACAGTCGATTAACCAAAAAAAGGGAAAATGGCATTTTTTTGCTCTTTTTTTACGTTAATGTTACAAATGGAAAAAAATTTTTTTTTAAATTAACCATGACAGATTTTTGTAGGAAATTTTCTACAGAAAACGAAACCCCCCTATCCGCTTGCTCGACGATCAGTAGTTCCAGAGATATCGGCAGTTGAGTGAAAAAAGATCCTTTTGCATTCAAAATTCGATATCTCGAAGACAAATGGTCGTATCCGGGTCCCGCAAAAGCAAATTGAAGCTGAATAAACAGGCTATACGGCCTATGCATTGGTCTAGCTCGAAAAATTTTTTCCATGCCCGTAGAGCG